TCCTGGATTTGATGGTGGAAAAAGCTGTCTGTCTCTATTATTAAACTGACAAATAATTTCTACTGAAATATTGATTCCATTTGTTTTTGAGCTTTCTCATCTCCCAAATTATATGACTGTTCCAGTAATTATTTAAAAATGAAGAACCATTACTGAAATAATATTTGGTTTGGTTATTAAAAGTAGTTTGAATGCAGTGTATGATATAACTAACACTTCATTCTTCTTAGTGATGGATATGATTTCTAGAAGTTAAATAGATAGAAATGAGGTTTGAAATATTAGAAGGACATTCCAGCAATAGATTTTAGCAAGTAATGACAGTGATACCATCTTTATGGACAGGAATTTTGTTTCAATTTTACCACATTAAGTTAAAATACTACAAATGCAAGACATTTCTGTCACTCATTTCTTTCTTTGACTATTTGTATAGATGTGTACAAATTAGCTAATTAGAGCTCAGAAATGGATAAAAAGCAAATGATGACTCATGTGAAGAAATCTAATGGTTGACTCATGAACCATAGGCTGATCCCAATTGATTTGTTGAATTAAAGTGGACTATCAACACAACAACTGAATGTCTTTTAACTTAAATTACATATTAATTAGGGATATTGTGTATTTAGGTATGCATCAGTCATTGATAAGGTAGGAAAACTATTTCCAAGTTATCTTTCGTAGAACCATTGAGAGAAAGAGATCATTCTATGAGATGCTTATGAAGTTGCTTATTATTAGGTTTTTGATGTGTTATAGGTGTCAGGAGTGTAAAATTCAGAAACAATACTTCTGGTTTTCTTGTACCAGTGTTTTCAAAAACATCCTTTTGCATGTGTGTGCCTATATGTACAATATGTAGGATGAGTTAGTGTGTAAGACACACCTGCATTGTGTTATGGCATTTATGGTGACTTTCCATGTCTGCAGAGTGGAACTGGAAGTGAAGCTATTTTATTTAGATAGTTAGAATATCCCAGTGTTGAATTCTTGTAGCAAGTAAGGCATTATGAGTATATAATAATATTTTATCCAAGGGGATAAGAGGGTTATGTTTCAGATAGCTATTCCAATTGCTTTGCATATATTATCTACAGATATTTTCTTAAATAATCTTCCCAGGAGTCCATGAAGTAGGAATTATTATGTTAACTTTATAGATTGGACTACTGAGGTATAGAGACACTGGTACATGTTTCAGTTTGGGTATAAGTGCAGAAAACAGAGACCTTCATGATTCTATGTACTATAATCTCAGTGTGTGTGTGTGTGTGTGTGTGTGTGTGTGTGTGTGTGTGTGTGAGAGAGAGAGAGAGAGAGAGAGAGAGAGAGAAAGAGACAGACAGACAGACAGACAGACAGACAGACAGACAGACAGACAGACAGACAGACAGACAGACAGACAGACAGACAGACAGACAGACAGACAGACAGACAGACAGACAGACAGACAGACAGACAGACAGACAGACAGACAGACAGACAGACAGACAGACAGACAGAAAGACAGACCTAGAGAGATTAACAAGCTTTGTTGTCAACTGCCAGGTCACAAATAACAACACAAAGACTTCTTGTTAATTATGAAAGCTTGGCCTTAGCTTAGGCTTGTCCCACTAACTCTTATAACTTAAATTAACCCATTTATATTAGTCAATGTTTTTCCTTGTCATTTTTACCTTTATTTCATTCTTTATGTCTGACTTCCTCCATGTCTCATAGGCACCATCTAATGGGACCTAGATTCATCTTCCACTTTCTCTTTCCCTCTACCTGGAAGTCCCACCTATACTTCCTGCCTAGCTATTGACTGTTCAGCTTTTTATTACACCAATCACAGCAATACATTTTCACACAGTATACAAGCATCCCACCACAAGAGAGATTCAAATAAATCAAAAAAACATTAGTATTTGTTCCCAAAAAGACATAATCAGCTTTGCTGCAAAGTGAGTTTCTCTTTAGTATTTAAATTTATTTTCTTATTTATTTATTTATTTATTTATTTATTTATTTATTTATTTATTGTGTGTGCTTGCATGGGTGTGCATGTGTGCATGTACCATAGTGTGTGCCTGTTGTAGGACAGCTGACATGAGTCATTTCCCTCTTACTGCCCTATGGGTCCCAGGGATTTATTGGCTGCAAGCGCCCTCTGAGCCATCTCAGTTTCCAGAGCTTCCTACTCATATTTGTAGAATTTCTAATGCTCAGGGCAGACACTTAATACATATAGAGGATGTAGACAAGTATGAAGCTACAATACAGAATAAAATTTAGGCCAACAGATCAGTAAATATTCATACTTTAGAAATAATTGAAATAATAAATCATAGAATGAAGAATGTTATGCTGTGTGGAGATCTAAAAAAGAAGAGAGAAACTAATATGTTTGTGTGTAATCAGCAGAACCCTGGTTGCAGGGACTTGGAGTCATTTAGTTATAACAAATCTAGATGCAGATTGCTGTGGAAATAATGTGAGCATGTACACTGGCTATCTGCTACTTTTTATTCTTATTGTTATTTAATCCCTTCCACTCTCTCCCCTCCTTCTCTTTTTATCACTCTTATTAGCTCTGGCAGCAGCCATATTGAATATAATAGTTGGATACACTTTAAATTTCAATGAATCCTAGGTATGAACAGAATGGTTTTCATACATTATGAAACTGTTATTTAAAGAATGAGTTTAACAGACATCTACTGTTTTCATGGCCATTTGGGGGAGAAAGCAGTAGCCATTATCGTATCATACATTAAACTATTTCTCAGCTGCCTGAGATTCTCTAGGCTAGATTTGGTCTGTAGGGGCTAGAATTATAGAAGGGACTGCATTTATTCTTGGAAATAGCATTACAACCTAATTATAATGATTCCACAACTGGGTCACAGCACCAGCATAAGATGCAGTGAGACAATTTGTGGTGTGGTTTGTTTTTATTTCCATCTCTATGTACAGCCAAAAAATACCTAAAAATACCCACTGAAAGACACTAATTATTTACACATGAGTGTACTGTAAGATGCATAGCAGATGTGAGCCATTAAGCCAGCTAAAACACACATTGAATAGAAGTTTCCCACCCCGTGACTGCTTAGTAAATATCATGTGTTGACTTTTGCTCTGTGGGTAGTGAATGTGTTGCTTGATACAGACAGTACAGACACAGAAATGCAGAACAAACCCAGGGAGGCTGTAAATATGGGGAAGAATAAGGAAACTGGAAGAATATTTGTAGGTTCATGTTGTAGTGCACATTTTCTTGATTTTATTTTTATTTTCTTTCTGCGAAGCAATAATGATGCTCCTGTGTTTGCTGGTGGGTATGTAGGGTGGTATCTATTTCTATTTTGTCCTTTTGTGCAATAGCATACAGCTTTTTACTGAGTCTAAGTATCCCATTGACCAAATCCATTTAGCATGTTTTTGCAGCAGCTCCTTGACAGAAATATTTTTAGTAAACAGTTCTAGAATGTTCCATAAAGGTTTTGCTGTCGCTCCTCAGCAGAACGATGATTTTCCAAATACCAAGCATTTGGAAAGGCAAGGATTCAGCTCTAGGTAGCTTTAGGTTTATTCAACTCCCATATTTTAAATATATATGCTAATGATATGCAACTTAAATATGGATTTAACTGTTAATAATTACAACAAGGATTTACATTGTTTTGCATACTTAGAAACTAATTCAAAAGGTCTTGTGTTTTTAAAATAGTACATCCCTCTCTCAGTCACCAAGTTCTAGATTTAGGGTGAATTTTTAAGTCTCTGGGCTGCTTCCCACCCCATACAGAGAGAGTTGACCAAATCTGTTTCCCACCACTCATTGCAACCTTGGCTTGGGTCTTAGCACTTAGAATAATAGTAGCAATTGTAGTCTCCTCCTGAATGCAGAGTCTTTCCTGTCATAATCTCATAAGCTGGTACTAGATGCATGGGGTCTCGATGCTCTGCACTGATTGTGTCCCTTCACTGGCCAAAGCTATCTGGTTGCTTTCAGTTGTTGAACCAAGAGAGTTCCTCAAGGTCCCAGCTCTTCACCTACATTTCTTCCCTTTACTTTGAGTTCCTTTCTTTGCTCACCTCTTATGTACTGATAGTCTGATATTTTCTCCAGGGCTAACAGTTCAGTCTGACCCCACCTGCTTCTCCAGGCTCACTTCCTAGTCTAACATGGGGCTTTGTCTCCTGCTTGGACTTAGGACACCATCTGCCTTGCTTTACCTGCACTGAGTAATGAGGGATTTTATTTCTCAGCTTGTTGGCCTCATGTGTATCTGCAGCTCTTCTCACTGGCTAGAAGTAGAGGCAGCATGACTAGACCTAGTACCCCAGTGAACCTTGAATTCATCTTCTGGGTTTTCATTATGGTTCTGAGCAAGTTGCTTTCTTCAAGCCTCAGTTCTCTTATCTATACAATGGGGCCAGTAGTAGCTTACAATCGTGAGTTGGCTTTTTTCTTTTTTCTTTGAAAAGTCATTTCTCTGAAACTCTAGTGAACTCAGTATCACACCTTGTACATTTAACAAGCAGATTTACCGAGTCTTTTTTTTTCATAAAAATAAAACTTTGTATTTGATGTCTGTACATCATTCACTGGGCTTCCTTTGGGCTATTCAATGCACAGAGCTCCTCCCTCCAGAGCTTTTAGGATAGCACAGACTTCTGAAGCATCTGGGCATCCTGGATCATGGGGCTTCCATTCTGTGTTCTCAGTGCATATATATAGATGGTAGCAGGGCCCCTGCCTTATCGTCTTGTGACCTATAGTACCTGGAAGCTCAAACTAACAAACTGGCTCTGTGACTAAAGTGTGAAATTGCATATGAAATTGGAGGAAAGTGGCATGGTAAAAACCAATTCATATTGGGCTTATTTTTAGAATTGAGAATTCTGTATTTTGGTAATGGAAAAAAATGCAAAAGTGATGCACAAGATATCTACTGCATAACAGTCTGGGAACTTATGAGCTTTAATCCTTTTATCTATTTTAGGACTTTCTGGGACAAGTGTTTTGTACATTGGGGGAGATTGTTGGTTCACAGGGAAGTCGTCTGGAAAAGCCAATAGTGTAAGTACTTTTTAATTCAGACAGTGACATGTCAACTCTGGCATTTCTATATTAGTTGTTTGGAACTCATGAATATATGGTTGTAGAACAAAATAGGTTTTAAAATTTTTCTGGGAATTTTCTCTTCCAGTAACTAATTTTGACATAAAGAATGTATTTCAGCTTCCATATGCTACGCAAAAAATTTCAAAAACCAAATTGATTAGTTTTGAAATGTACTGTATTCTTTTTGTTTATGTTGTTAGATTTAATACTTATGGAAAATAAATTGACTTCTTCAAGTCAGGATGTATGTGTAGCTCTACTTTCAAACACTTTGTTCAATAAATGTGCTTTTGATTATTGAAATTTTAATAGTTAATTGCTACATTACTTTCCCTGGGGGGAGCTGATACACACAATTATGTTCACTCCAATAGAGCATCCATGACAAACCAAAGAAGTGATTGCATCCAAATGCAGTGCAATGAACCAATGAGTTTATTGAGCATATACATGGGTTAGGGGTAATTTACAGATGGACTGTCAGTGAGCCCCAAACTGTTGCACCACTGGGAAGTCCCACCTCAGCAGGAGTGGTAGCCAACTGAATGCTGTACCAGTTCCTGTTCATCTAACACCTTCCAAGGCCACCTGCAGCTGGAGCAGCAGTGTGTGTATCTTGTGGGGCCAGGTGAGGTGGCTGGTGTCCTCAGAGAAGGTCATTCACAGTGGTCCCCTCCTTCCAGGAGGAGAGACCAGCAGACCAGTTCCTGTTCTGGTGGCTACTCTGGTTTCAGATGGCAGCATCACTGTCATCCCCAGAAAGCAAAGGGCAGAATTCCATAACTGTTTTTTGCTGGACCAGTTGGTGGAGGAAGCCATGTGTGATTCTGCAGACTGATTTATTTATTCATATAAATCAGGAGATCCAGGAAAACCCAATCAACAATGGAGGACTAACCACAATGTCCAAACTTTGGGAAAAATTTAAGCGGTGTCTTCATCAGGGATTTGACAAAAATAAATAAGTCAAAGCAAAGTTCTTCTTTAACTCCAAGTACATGAAATTATGTGTTATCTCTCTCCTATTCTGGATAAAATTTAACATCATGTGTGTATGAGTATTATACATAACATCTTACCTCATAAACTAGTAAGTCTATTCATTTAACTTCTTTTATTTACTTTGATTTTACTATAAAATTATTACCAAATATCAATTTGAGGTCTTTGATGTATCTATTCCCTTTTAAATATTATTTTCATAAATAATTTATTTCTACCTAGTTATAATCAGAAAACTTTTTAAATGCAAATTTTTCTCCAGTAAAAGAATTCATTTATTAGTTATAAACATCTTTTAAAACTTGAGATTATTGTTTTCATTGGAGTGTGTGTGATGACTATAGCATAGCATAAGATTGTACCCTTGATTCAGCTGATTCAAAATTTCCATTGGAAGAGGCCAACAAATGTCACCTCATACTATGAGATAACAGTATTTAGGATAAGGATTGGAAGAGTATACCGATGTTAGGAGGATTTAGTAGATACTGAATTGTGCTGGTTTTGCACAGATGTCTTTCGGGTTTTCTGAGTAAGGCTAGGGCTGGGCTGTAATGAAACAGAGCCTTAAAACCATTGACATGCTAAGTGTGGATTCTAATTCTCATATTTTATCCATAGGGGATTTTGAAAATTTAGATAACTTTGTTATTTTGAAGTATAGATGTCATACAAAACAACACAGTTCACTCAGATGTCTAAGTAATCGTATGTCCTTACTGCACAGGTTTCTCAGATAAATAAACATCAAGGTATTGTTGCATGGTAGGCTTCTTGTTTGAAAGTGAGATTTTGAGAGTTTCCTAAGAAAGTGAGGTAAGCAACAAGCACCAATAGAGTAGGCAATGAAATGCACAATTTGAATATCTCAGAGACTGGTCACAAAAGAAAGAAGACAACTTTAGAAACTGCAGGACGGTAATGCCTGAGGTGAGGATGTTAACTACTTGAGACAAATGAGTCAGAAGAAAGGCAAGGGAAGCTGAGACACGGTCATGGTTAAGAGAGTAAAGCCAGATGTCATTAGCTTGGTAGCGCAATGATGCTTCGGTGTTGTTTGAAGAAGTACCAAGTAACACACCCACGTTCTGTGAACTCAGTAACTGCTTCAACTCAGGTGAAGATGGGAGTGAAACAATCACCTGGAGTCACCAAGTTCAAAACCAGGCTGTCTTTCATGGAAAACTTCATCTTTGAGAGAGGCATGTGTCTGGAAGACACAAATGGCCTGAAAAATATGGCCCACAAGCTAAGATTGAGGTCCAGGGTCTTCCAGTGATGATGATGTTTCTAGGCAAACAGCATTTTATTCCATTACTTCAGCCTCAAATGAAAATTTTTCTTGTTTGAAAACAAATGCAGTTGTGTTGAGAAAGCCAGGGAAACACTTTCCCTCAAAGCTCTGTTGAGCTACCTGCATTGCCAAGACAGTCAAAGGAACTGGCCCTCCCATAGATCCTTCCAGCTTCAGACCCACCGCTGCTGATCCACTGACATCACTTTTATGTATTTTTACCGTTTCCCATGAGTTCATCTATCAGGAACATGGTGGGGAGAAGAAAAGAATTGGGGGATGTGGACATGCCTTTTTAGTAGAAAAGAGAATGGCTGTGGACAAAAGGATGATGGTAAAATATTACTAATGCATAATGAGAAAGACAGGAAGTTCAGTGACACATACAGGTTCCTAAAAGGCGAAGTGTGTATCTATTCACCACAGTCCCCTCTCTCTGGGACCACTTTCCCCAACCTGACCAGGCAGCCACTCAAAAACTGATGATTTTTCAGGCTGTTCCCCAAGGCTAGGGATAGAGATGGGAGATGCACATTCTCTTGTGTATGGACAGGACCTTTGCAATCATGTTGAGGACTCTGGCGATTGATCTTCCCCACCCTGCTGAGCATGTACTTCTGAAATGCAGCTGGAGGTACCTCCCCAGGAAGGAAATACACCCACAATAAGCAAGATTGATTCATCTTGCACTTGACAGTTCTTCCCGAGTCCCATATGTTGCTTGTCTTAAATGGTGCTATCTAAATGAGTTAACATTTATTTACTATTCATTTAGATCAGATACTTATTTTCTAATTAGTTTCCCCTTTACATTCTAAGTTACTCAGAGTACCCCCTTGTTCTTTCCCCTTTACATGGACTGGCTCATAACCTGATAAGATGTTCAGAGGCTTCTTTCTCAGTTTCCTAATTGTGATGGAGTTATCATATCTCATCAGACACAGACTTTTAAATGAATAATAATTGTAAAATTTGGGGATTTAGAAGAGACAAAGTAACATCCTAAATTATTCAGCAATCAAATGTTTCTAAACCAGGTTTATCACAAAGGCAAAAAAAAAAAAGCTACTTGTATTCTTGTATGTAGCCATATGTCTTAATAATAATCATAATTTTAATTTAAACTTAGCTAGTATATTTTTGGGCTTCAGTGATGCTTGTCATTTAAAGACAGGATTTTATTTTCTTATAAAAATTATTATTTAAAAATTAGTCTCTAAGAACTAAAGTGAAGTGATTTGAAAAGGCATCCAAACTTTTTCTTTCATTGTATTAGCATTTCAACAATTTTGAAGTTTCCTGAAAGTCTGTTTTGTTGGACATGCCATATTTACCAAATCTTTACTACCATACTTTTGTTTTTGGTGGGGGGGGGTTATGATGCTTACTTTGTTTATGGCTTTGGCTGGATCCCTGTGACTCCCAGCCCTTCTCTTTAGGTCCCATCATTATTTAGCATCGCTCCCAATATACCCTGTGTTTTCTCATGCTGTGAGATTGCATCCAGCTTTTGTGTCATGCTCTCAGAACCTGCCTTCATCTATCTTTTAGGAGTTTAGTGATGGACTCAGCAGTCTCAAGAACTTGAGAGTGAGCTCCAGGTTAAGAACGATTGCTGTTGTCTTCTGTAGGGGAAATTAGGATTATGGTCCTCAAGCAATAGGCTTTCTGGTTTTGTCCCTTACAGCCAGGCACAAGTGCATCTGTGTAAGAACATGGGGTCAGAATGCAGGAGTTAGTGACTAGAAAACAGGTCCTCAATCCAGAGAGGAACAGCAGCTCTTATGGTGATGTACGAGCTACTGTTTTAGCTGAAGGAAACTGAGGGGAAAGGTCATAGAAGGCAGTAACTTGTGATGCACACAGTTGATTTTGAGTGGAGGCTAAAGGGAGGTTCTGAGAATGGCCAGTGGGTTGTGAGGGGCACAGGAATGTAGACTCAGAGGTGAGCGATACTTGAAGACCAGACTAAGGCTGTCGATTGGACACAGGATTCCAACTGTCTCATAAGACTCAAGAGAGAGACACATGGGTGCTGAGGTTTTCCAGAAGAAAGGTTGGAAGAAGGAAAAACCTGAAAGAAAGCTCAGGGATGAGAAAACCAAGACAAAGTGGGTCTGATGGCACTTGAAGTTCAACTTGTCAGTGTTGACATTGATGACTTCAGTGTGGACCATCTGTGTGTTGTCTGTGAATGCCTATGGAGATCGCCTATTACTGTGGGCAGAGGAAGGGAGCTAAAACAAGGACAACTTGTCCAGAACATGAAAAATATAGGAAGCTTATGATGAAAAAAAAAAGACTAACCTTTTATTGTGCAGCTTTGTGCACATAGTTTGGGCTGTAAAATTATATCAAAAATATCTGGGACTATATTATCTTATGGTAGTGGTTTGAATGAGAATGGGTATTATGGAGTCATGTGTTTGAATACTTGGTCCATAGTTTGTGGAACTGTTTGGGAAGGATTAAGAAGTGTGGCCTTGTAGGAGTAGGTATGTCCCTGAGGGTGGGGTTTGAATTTCAAAATTCTAGGATATCCCCAGTATATCCCCAGTATTTCTCTTTCTCTTTTCCCCTCTCACTTCCTCCCTCCTTCCCCCCTTATCTCCTTCTCTCCCTTCCTCCCCCTCATACCTTGTGCACTTGTGGGTAAGAT